AGTGGGGGTTTCTGTGGCCGCTTTTAACATCCATAGTCATGAAGCAGAGCTCGTTCTTAGGTATAAAGGTTGCTCTCATATTGCTCTTTCAATAAAATCTTTCACTGCCTCAGTATTTCTCTCTCTGAATATTTATTTGATGAGTTTCTGGCTGCCAGCACCCATTTGTCTCCACCGTACCCTGATGCCATATGGCCCGCGGACAGGCAGCACGGCTCGAAGAGGCGGCTGTACCTATAGCGAACGAGGCGGTACCTTACAGAAAGCATTTTTGAAGCTCAACCTGTGGCATGAGGTGTGAAACAGCAGCTCCCATAGGAGCTGGCGTTTGGTGCACGTGGGCACCCTGCCTGGCTGGGTGCCGCTTGTGCCGAAGCGCCGAGGGGATGAGGGGGTGCTCGCAATGCAACGGCGGCGCAGATTTAGCAAAGTTGACGTTTCCCACTCATTTGGAGCCCTCCGCCGCAGCCACTGCAGGGGGAGCAGCTCCTTGCCGGGGGTGGTTTGCAGCGTGTCCCACCTGGAGCCCGGCTGTGCTTGTCGTGCAAGGCTCTGCGCGGAGCTAAGCATGGCTAAACTGAGCTTACATCTCCCCGCTGCTTCATCCAGGAGCGTATTATCCCCTTATTGTGTAAGATGGACCAGGGAGTTAGCACACATCCTGTCTCACAAAGGTATTAAGTGTTGAGGACACCAGGACAACAGTGTCCTTATGGTCCAGAGCTGACGTGGATTGGGTTGTCCCACTGCACAGGGGCTTTTTGGAGGCTGAGAAAATACCGTCTGCGGGGAAATGGCTGCGGGGATGGGTGGGATGACTTTCAGGAACTGCTTCTCGGGTTGAGCACTAAAGGAGATAAAAATCTCCTGGCACTTGTCTGGAGCCGCCCCACGCGCTCACTGGAAACTTGAAAAATTACCCCGATACAGTAGGTTGTGTGTGACAGCCTGAGTGCAAGTGTTAGCAGGGATTTTTCTGGAATAAACTGATTTTCCAGCACAGCTATTTCAAGGCCAGTGGCAGCCCCACGTGCTGCAGCCCACAGAGTCTCGGGCTTCTCCTTTGCTTTAGCTCTGGGCTCTCGGGTAACAGCTCTGCCCGATAACTGGGCATCCAATAACCTGTTGCTCAATGTTTTTCCCTGTTTTACAAATCTTTTATTTATATTGGAATATATTAAAACCACAAATGCTGCTTTATACACACAATCCACTAGCCCAGCTTTTACAATTTAGGCATCTTTCCACTTTTTCTGCGTCAGCTTCGCTATATAAGGACTCACCGTTCCTGCAGGTTAAAGCAGAGGTGCCTATGGACCGCTGTAAGGTCTCCCCTTGAGCAAGAACTGAGCGCTGAAGACCAAAGCCGGGCTTTGAAATTCAGGATAAAGCAGGTAAATACAGTCAAAATAGTGATACGGGGTGTTGTAAGCTTGGGGGGACAGAGCCACCATTTCACCTACAAGACTTGCAATATACTCTGGTGAGCAAGAAAAAACACGGCAAAAAATACCAATAATAGTAGAAATGCAAGTAAGTAATTCCAGTTTCTATTTAGTGACTAGCCTGAAAAAAATCCGAATAGAAGGTTGGTATAGTAAAATGAAAACCCTTCTCTAAAGGATAAAACATACGTTTGACACAAAAGTTAGGGATTTTTTGTGTTGCAATATCCCCTAAAGGTGGTTGTAACTGTTTTTATTGACACAAGGTTAAACCATGCCATTTTAAAAAGAAAGGCTCTATTCCGAATGTGAGTTGCTTGTATAATTGCATCATTAATTTGCATACCCATTTACAGGGTGGTTATTAGTGAGGGGAGCTCAGTGTTAGTCTGTGGGTTATGAGTAACAATTTCGTACTATAAGTTTAAAATTAATGTCACGGTGACCAGGGATGGAAAGGAGCAGGTTGCCCGGGGTGCTTGTAAATAGGAATAAGCAAACAGGTGCTGGCGTTGTGCAGAAGCTCGCTGGAAAATGTCCCTGCAGATGTGCGTACAGACACCCCCTTTGTGTGTGTGTCCAGGTGTATTTGCCGAACGTGGCTCTAACTCGTGAACTGTTTTGGTCCTCCTAAAGCTCATGTTTTCTATTCACTGAAAAATTTTCACCCAGCTCGAAATAGCCAACTCCCCTTCATCTCCAGGGGGTCGCCCAGCCTATTTCCGTTCTTTTCCCATCGTCCTCCCCCAGATCCTGCCAGCGCCCACAGCACTCCCAGCTGAGCAGAAGACACCATGCCACCGGCTCTGGGCATCGCCCTCTTGTATGCGCTGCTGACCCCATCACTAAGCCAGCCAAAAGATGCCGTCCTCAGGCTCAACAAAGGTGTTTTAAGTGATGGTGAGTCACTCTGCCTCCTTGTAGGGGGTGCCTGGGAAAAAGGAACTGACCCGTGGTCCTTAGGGGGTTGACACCGTGGTACCAGCACAGCCCCATCA